ACATAGCATTCTAGTCATAATAATTCCTCTGAAATTCAATTCTGCTGGGAAAGAAATTTAGGAAAATATTCTCTTTCATCAATACTGAGTGAGAAACAATACAAAAAATAAAATAAAAAAGGAAGTTATCAGGCCATACATGGGATTCAAAATATTTTACTACTGGTTCTGTGGGCATGTCTTGGTGGGCATGGCAGGGGAAGGATACTGCAAAATCTCCATTTCCTCCCCACTCCTGGGGAAAAGTTACTGCAAAATCCCATTCTCTCCCCACCCCAATAATCTGCTTTCTAGTTCCATTCTCCTGTGCAGGACAACAAAAGAAGACCCACCTGATCAGCTGGGATTCAGGAGACAGAAAATAGATGGGGGCAGGGCCAGTCAGAGATGGTATTTTCCGGTTCTCCAAACTACTAAAAATTTCCATGACTGGTTCTCCAGAACTGGTCAGAACCTGATAAATACTACCTCTGGTTCTTCTCCTTGTGTCATGCCCCTGGTGGAGATTGACTCTGAGGGAGAGGAGGAACAGCCGACAGGGAGTGGAAGTATGGCTCTGCCATACATACATACATACATACATACATACATACATACATACATACATACATACATATACATGCATACATACATACAATACACCTATCATAACTTTAGTCCAAATATATCCTGATTTCCAGACAAGGTAATGTTTGAAGAGTCCTTGGTGCTCTCTGAGGTTAATTGTTAATTTCATTACCCAAACAAGATAACATTATCAGTGCTAGTCAGAATTGATGTTTGCTCTCATTTTATATTCTGGTAGCTTGCCCTGTCAGTGTTAATGGGAGGGATCTTGGTAGTTCTTTGGTTGGCTTTTTACTATTAGCTTGTTTGGCTGTTTCTTGATAAGGTATTATTTGCTACTTGATTGTTCATCTAATGTTAATCTTGGTGTTAATCTCTGCTCATCTGGGTGTTGATTGATGCTGAAATGGTTTCCTTTTGGCTTGCTGATCGTCTCCTTTGAATGGTATATACTGTAGATGTCTATTTGTTTGTTTGTTTGTTCTGATGGCTGCCCATCTCACTTTGAAGTGACTCTGGATGGCTTATAACATTAAAAGCAATATAAAAATAAAAGAAATATTTCTAAAAACAATGAAAAAATGGAATTACAATATAAAGTAATGTTACAGTTAGAAGATGGGGAGAGAAGGAGCTGGATATATGGGGGCGGGGAGAGGTGGGATTTTGTCTTAATGCACCAACCACCTCCAGTATGATACTCCCTCATTGGGCACCAAGCTGGCAGAGCCTGGTCTTCAGCCCTTATGGAAGGTGAAAAGGGTAGAAACCGATCTTATCTCAGGAGATAAGATGTTCCAAAGGGCAGGAGCCATGGTGGAGAAAACTCATCTCTTGGACCCTGCCAGCTGAAATTTTCTGGTTGATGGGGTCTCTGCTGGTCCAGGTGGGACAAGCCTGTGGGGTGAAGTGGTTTCTCAACCTGAATCCTGTTGTAGCTTCCAAATACTCTTCAAGGGTAATCCTATGTAAAGTGTTCTGCATTTCTAGAAAGTTCAGATTTGTGTGTGTGTGTGTCTATGTGCCTCTTGATGGTCGATTTGTCAGAGTGCCAGGCTTCCAGGAATTTTCTAGAGGTTTTGGACTTCACTTATGCAGTACCATTGGACTGGCTCCCAAAATGTTTCTGGGTGTGCAGCAAGGTGGTTATTTTTGCCTACCAAAGTCTGTACGGTATGAAACTGAGTTATTTGTTGGACCTGCTGTTTCTGACCATCCTACTAATTCTGACAAGATGGACATGGTCCAAGCAATGTCATCTGAGGGGATTTGGGAGATGAACCTTTCTTATGGTAATATCTGACTTTTGCAAGATTTTCTCTCTCTTGTCTCTGATGGGTCTCTGACCCTCGTTTTTAATCTGTATATGTCACTCAGAATCACTTCTGTGGGGTGGGCAGCCATATAATTAGCTTAAATGTACACATACATTTGGTTTCTTTTGATTAGATATGTTTTTAATTATACGTGGTGGGGTTTTGTTTGTAGAACTTTGTTTAAGTGCTGCTGGCATTGTACTTTTAAAAATTGAGCAACTCTCTGAATATTTTACACAAAGAAATGAACTTCTGTCTAATGTATATTTTGATTGACCATATTATATTCCCATGGTTTAAATTACACATCTTCAGTTTGTGTGTGTGTGTGTAGATAAAGTGAACCATTGTTACATCTTCAGTGGCAATGGTTCACTTCTACCTCCAACCCACTTGAACTTTTGTAAAATTTATCACTTCCTTTGAAAGCCTTCCTATAAGCCTCTCTAGCAACAGAAGCAGAGTGGTGACAACACAGGAACCAACCTTCCTGTGCTTTCTACTTAACCTTTATCTAAAGAGATCAGACTAATTTCCTCCCTTCCTTCTGATAGGCTGTTGTGTTTTGTGTTGGTGCGCCACTTGGCCTTTCAGTGATTTTAGCTCTGCACTCTCCCTCACTCTGGCTCTGTTTTAGAGTCTGACAATTTAACCTTTGTATATTATTTTTGCAGTTTAAAAATAGCATTGATCATGGAGTGAAGTACAAGATAAATCAGGAAAGATTTCATAAATAAATAAGAGTCAGATGAACTTGTCACTTATTCTCTATATTATTACTATTATTTTGGAGGAAATGAAAATGCACAGGCACACACAAACCCAAAATTTAATCCTTCATTTTCAGCTTCATCTAAGGTATCATTACTTCTAGTACTGAATTATTGTGTGCTGATGACGTTCAAGTAATATTTGATCTAGCTGGCAATAGGCAAATCTGAAATTCATTCCTTTCTCATCAGCAGTTTTGTAAAAGTTCTGATTGTCAGTGAAATATTAGAATGCCACCAGATACAATGTTCACTCAGGTGAACATTGTGATCTCTTTGCCCCTCTCTTTTTTTCATGGCAAAATGAAATTTATCCAAAGGTCATTATGACTAATTTGGAGGGAAGGCTGTTCTCTGTTCACTGAATTGCAGGGTAAACAACCTAGATATATTATCCTTCGATCTGGCATTGCTTCAAACACAAAATATCTCAATCAGGAATTTGTGTGTCATAAAGATGTTTGGGAACAGACAAAATACATTGTTAAAGCTATAGTATTTCTCTGTTTCTTTCTTTATATCTACCTTCTTGTCCCTCTTTAACATTTGCCTTTTTAAAAAGTGAATTGCTAAGATTATTAATTTACGAACAAGTATACAGAGCACTTAATTTAAAACAATCATTCTGGATATCCTACATGGAATCCTAGCCAAATAATACCAGCTTTTTAATTAAAGCAGTCCATCACACACTAAGCTTGAAACAAGACGTTATTTTCTTCTCCAATTCCTTGTGCTATACTCTTAATGGCATATTGAGAAGTTGAAAATTGTTTCATGTCATCAATGAATGGCAGAGTCCTTTTTATTACAGTTCATGGCTGGTTCATCACACAGGAGTGTCTCAAGTTGGCCTTTGCAGATTATGCTTCAGAATGAATCCATGTCATAAACTCAATAAACTGTATCTCAAAACACCAGGACAATTTGATGACATGGGCATAAACAGCCATATTGAGCTGTATTCAAAATATTAGCTGGGTCATTTTAGGTCAGCAACTTCATAACATTTTACGGAGGAAATATGTACAAATAATCACTCACAATTAGGTGGGTCTCTTAATATTCTGTCCCAATATATTTGCAGATTTAGTAAGGAGACAGCAAAGCATAAAAGGGCAGTCAAACTGGAAAGGTAAATGTTCCCATGGCACTCGACTTCTATTGAAGGTTGAAGTTGTATAGTACTCATGGTACGTAGAAAATTAACCTTTTTACTTTGGAATGTCTAAATTGGGCAGAGGGGACATTCTCTTTCTTAATAATGTTATTACAAGGAAACAGTGAATGAACATTACAAGTTTCTTAGCTGAGCACAGATTTCAATATAACTAAATACCCCCTATGCATATCTAGAACCTGTCTATAAACCACATAGGATATATTATTTTGAAAAAGCAGCTACAATATGCTGTGATTGTAGAGTTGGAATTATGGCTTGTTCCTCCTAGCTAGTCTGCTATTTTCAAATAAAATAGAGAATCCTGTTATCAGTATTAAAGAAGTATTCAATCCATGAAATGGCAGCAGCCCGTTAACTCAGACAGCAAAGTATTTTAGGCCAACTTTTGTATGTAAGTGTTGTGGCTTGTTGGCCACCGGCCCCTTCAGCAGCCAAATCAGATGAGGAGGAGGCGTGGGAGTCAGGGTCATCATCAAGGCAACCTGAGAGCTTCAAGGGAGAAGAGGGAATGGAGCTGGCAGAGAGAGAGAGAGAGATAGAAAGGGAGGGAGGGAGGGGAAGAGAGAGAGGGAGGGAGGGAGGGAGAGAGAGAGAGAGAGGCAGGCAGGCAGAGCATGGGCCATCCATCAGCCCTAAAATGGAGAGTTAACAACCCCCCACCCTAGCTCTGGGGATAAAAAGCAGGGAGCAGAGATGAGTAGATGTGGCAGACAAGGAGATTCATCTCCTTGCCGAGCAGACTTGTTATTTTACAGTGAGAGGGAAACTTTTTGCCGGGGCTACTGGCACTCCTAATAAAGAAATATTTGAGTTAACATCAGACGGTTTGTCGTGTTTCGGGAGCTGGAACAGAACAACAAGTTATAGCCTAGCCTAACTTTAGCACTTTACTGGAAACTAAAGACAATTTCTTCCTTATAAATGTAAGTGATCCAATGATAAATTTAGAAAGTAGTTATCTGAGATTTTCAGATACCAGACCAGAGGTGGTATTCAGCAGGTTCTGACCAGTTCTGGAGAACCGGTAGTGGAAATTTTGAGTAGTTCGGAGAACCGGCAAATACCGCCTCTGACTGGAGACTTTACAGTATCCTTCCCCTGCCACGCCCACCAAGCCACGCCCACAGAACCAGTAATAAAAAAAATTGAATCCCACCACTGTACCAGACTATATTGTAAAATGCTATACAGCATAATATTAAGGAATGACAAATATACCCAAGTTCACTTGTTTGATTCTAGTTTATGGAAAAGCTATTTTTGCTGGACTTTGTTAAATTAAGGAATTCCTTGAAGTAAGAGCAGGATAGAAATATAAAAATTAAAAAAAATATGACCTCTTGCCCTTAGTATTACATTCTTGGATATGCCATTTATAGTCAGTAATTTCTGTTATAGAGATGGATGAAGTAACAGATTAATTAAATCTCAAAAATTCAGTTCATTTTTCAACAAATCTTCAATTGCAGATATCTATCATACAATTCATCCTATAACTCTAGCTATAATGTTAAAGTATTTGAATATTCGCAGAGCAATTTAAAGAACTACATATTTAAATGATATTATCTCTTTATTGAAACAATAACAAAGAAATTAAACTGTACGTGTATAAACTTTTAATCTCTCATGCAAATTAACTCTAGTAAATTAGGATTCAATTTATTAACTACTATAACTACTAAATAACTATTAAAATGTTGCTACTACTCAGAGAAAGATAACTTACTCATAGGTAGGCTTAGTCTGTGACCACCCATATAAATTGTGGACATCATAATGTCGAACTGGGCTTCCATCAGGCAGAATTTGTTCACTTTCCATACAAATGGTTTTCTCATTCAGTCCCACATGTTTTCCCAGAATGTCTGATAAAAATAATAATTAAAAAATAAATTCAAGGAAGTTAACAGAACCAGATAAAGCTATGTCGGAAATTTAAAAATGTAAATTTCTACTTTTTTAGGTAAAATATTTTATATGGCTTGGCCTATAGTAATTTCACATCAGTAAAATATTGTAAATACAATGTGCATAATCAATTTTTTGAAGAACTCAGCCAAAGGTATATGGAAGAGCTAGAATAATAACACTACCTCCAAAATATTTTTACCAGCATCATGTGTCTGACCGAACCTAAACATTTTCATTTTAGAAAGTTTGGCTTAATTTAAATTTAGGGTCTGTTAATATTTTTTTATTTACCAACATTCCAAAAAATTAAAATACAGTATTGTAATGTTAATTACCTGGCATATATATTGGATTATTTAGATCAGAGTTCCTACAACCAGTAACGGCACCATTGACAAAACTTGCAGGTTCATTCATATCCTTAAATAATAAAACAAATAAGACACTCAGACTATTAATTAAAAATTTCACCAAACTTTTATGAAGTGTATAATTAATATAATAGCTAGATGATCATTTGAAAATTGTATGCAAATTTTGCATGAAATGATATTACTTCTTTCTAGTTTATATTATTCATAAAACTATATGAATGGTGTGCTATGTTGAAGTAAGCTGTAAAGTCCAAGATAGCAGAAATTGACCATTAGCAAACAGGCAATACATTAGTAAAGATTCTTGTAGAGAGCATAAGTTTGCAATAAACCTTTACATTTATTTGAACTGTCTGGACTACTTGATTTAGAATGCTCCAAATGATATTTAAGTGTGTGTGTGTGTGTGTGTGTGTGTGTGCGTGTAATATAAATCAGTGTATATATGGAATAGAATGTCATACGCTTATGGATGAGCATATTGAAGTGGTACATGGATGAGATTTGGTTCTAAATGGATTTACCCATTTCTTCCAATAAAAAAATAAAACCACAATCAACTTCCTCATAATGCATGTCAGCTGCATTATTCATTTTATTTATTGGTTTGTTTATTTGTTTATCAAATTTCTATATTTTAGATCCATTTCCCAAACTAAAGCCTTCCATGTGAGTTGCATTAACAATGGCTGGGAATAGAAAATTAGTGGGAATTACCAAGTTCCCCAGATGTAGTAAGAAAATAATATTTTCTTACTGTTAAATTAAATGTGATGTCTGAAAATGCTGATTAATGTAGAAAGCATGAATTGGAAATAATGTTACTAAATTTATCAGATAAAACATTATACAAGATAGAAACCTACAATCCATAGGCCATCAAACTTGATGCTTTGTGATTGATCTCTGGGGTTATTGTATACTTCTTCAATTTCTTTTTTCCACCACTGAGCTGTAGATTTCCGAAAAAAATCTGGGAAAGCAGTCCAAGCACTGTAAAACTGAAGAGAAGCAAAAAAATGTGAAGAAAAAACAAAATGTCCCATGTATTAGAAACTAAACTTCTGTTGATATAGCCTAACATGACATTTGCGTTTAGTGCAATCTCATCACACTGTTCATTCAGATTCAATTTATAATTTATTACTGTTCTGTAATCTTTTTGACAATTGATATGGCCAGGCATGCTCAATTCTGTTTCTTTGAGTGTGACTTCTATTTTCTAAATGAAGAACTTCACGTTTCTTTCTGCAATACTTCAGCATCCTATGTTTGATTAATTACCTCAACTTTCAAGGGTATTTTGAATGTTAGTTATGCTTTTTTAAAGGTTATGTTATATCTCAATAGAGGAGAATATTGGTAGTTTAGGGTTGACCTCTGGAGTTTTTGGTGCTTTCTGAACTTGGTTGTAGGCTTCCAAATGTTTCATTACTCCACTAGGTAACATCATCTGTGTGATAAATATATTCTATTCAATTTTATATCTTCTGCACATCTAATAGGCAGACATTAATAAGATTTCAGAAAAGTAACATGATAATTTCATTGTACATATTTTAAAAACACTGACTAGGCTCACTTCACATAACATATCCATAACTTTATGCATAGCCTTTAAATAGTTCCTGGAATCTTTATAACATCTGTTCCTGGAATAATAGAGTAGGAAGGAACTTTGGAAATCTTTTCATCCAAGCCCTGCTCAACCAGGAGACCCTATGCTATTTCAGACAAGTAGTTGTCTAATCTCTTCTTAAAAACCTCCAGTGATGGAACACCTACAACTTCTGAAGGCAAGCCCACACTGATTAATTGTTCAGGAAATTTCTGTTTATTTCTATGTTGGTTTTCTGATTGATTAGTTTCCATGCATTGTTTCTTCATCTGTCTTCAGGTGTTTTGGAAAATAGGTTGACCCCCTTCATCTTTGTAGCAGCCTCTTACCCTGTTTCTCCAACAATACGGCTTCCCCCAATAGGAAGTCCCAGCATGTTTTATAGGCATGAAATGAAATTAAGCCCCTCCCCCCAAATTAAGGCCTATATTAAAACATGCGAAATGGTGGGGGAATGGTGGGGGGGGGGGCTTGCCGTTAGGAAGTACTCTTGTTGCACACCCGGATATGGTGCTGCCTGCGTTGACCCCGATACAAAGTGTCCCACCAACGCCGAGGTCAACATCCAAGCCGTCGCCACCCACCCGCCCAAAGATGCAAGGGGGGGGAATTAAGTCACCCCTGAAAAGACAACCTAGCCATTTTTTCGGGGCTCAAAAAAAAATAAGACCCGGCCTTATTATATGAGAAACACGGTAGATATTGGAACACTGCTGTCATATCATCCCTAGAACTTTTTTCCCATTAAACTAGACTTACCCAATTCCAATAAATCACCCAGAAATCAACAGAGCTTACTTATGATTAAACATGTGTCAGTGAGCATTTTTGGACTGATAAAACGCCTAATGGGGTTTTGAATGTTCCCACACTAGAATTGTTTCCCATTCTCTAACAAAAACCCAGACTTTTTTCTGAAACTCTTCTCATGCAGTATGTATGAAAGAAAAGCCTGCTGAATGGTGTCAACTGGTCAAGCATTCTGTGTCAATAGTTCTTTTCCACTGCTGCATCCTAGCAGCTAGTATTTTATAGCAGGCACTGGTATTAAATACTATAGAAAGTAATCAAGAGAGTTTACCTCATTATAAGGGGGATTGTGAAGGGATGTATATAAATTCCAATGGGCTTATAAATGAGTTTCAAAGTTCTTTGAATCTTAACCTTTGTATCTATTGCTGTGAGATTCGGGGACCAGTAGCTTTGCTGTGTTTTTCTAATAATGCTTGTGGTACAAGCTTTGTGATTTTTAATATAATTTTATTGTATCTAAAAATAAACCAGAGAACTGACCAATCAGGCATTCAGAGATTATACTTGTGCCAACAACCTACAGATCAGAGTGCATTCATCCAGCTTTTTCCAATTGCAGATTTTCTACAATATGACTGAAGTTACATTGCTTTTTGCTATAATTGCTATTACTAAAATTACTGCCAGGGTTAAGCTTTTATTAGTATAAGAATTTGCTTGGGATCTTTTTACCAAGGCAGTATTACACTTACTTTCACTTTATCATCCCAGCTGAGTGATGAATTTATAGTAATATTAGGAAAATATGGCCACACCTAAAATAAATAAAAATAAAAATAATTAGCTTTATAAACTAATTAAAGGAAAGGAAGACTTTTTCTTACAAATAATCCACTGTAAACATTTGTTTGCCTTTCATTGTTACCAAAATGGGGTGGGGTGGGGATACATAAAAAAATAAGGCAAAGGGCATAAGGCAGTTGTGGCTCTAAGCTAGAGTCCTCCAGCTTGGTTGTTGAGGAGATGGTAGTGCAACTGGAAAATGAAAATCCTTGTTACTTAGGGTGCAATAATAGTGATGGCTTAATATATGCTCTGAATTTAGCTCTTACCTGAGTGATGGAGGGAATGGTGGTACAAGGATGCTCATCTTTTGTATGTCATGGGAGTAGGGACATATTGGTGGTCCAGCAAAAAAAAAAAAAAAAGCTGTATCTTCCAGCTATTGTGTAGTTGGCATACATAATGCAACAGCTATCTTGGTTATTGTCTTTGTCTGGCATAGAAAAGGGTCTGCAATATGCCTTAAAAGTTTCATCTTTTGACAGTTGCTGAGTTTTCTTTCTTTCTTTTTTGCATCTCTGTTGCCGCTGCCTGCTCTGAGGTCAGAGAAGGATACAACTATGCTGTTTTTCTCCCAGTGGGAAATATTTTTTTTACCTCCAGCAATGCAGGTAAGAGCAGAAAGGGTGGGAGATTGATGTCAAGATCATAAGTGGTAGTGGGAAGTAGGCTGGCAGAACAGATATTAGACTGTTGAGCACTATGATAAAGTACCCTTGATGTCTGGGATGGTTACTTATTTGGAAAAGTATGCTATCTGATTGCAAGATGTTGTACTTTAAAATGTGGAGCATTGGCAAGAGTCAAAGGAAGCTGATGTTTTGTAAGAGGAAGTGGTAGACAATCCCAATATGGCTATGAGAGGCATCAGCAAATGTAACAGAAACAGGAAGGGCTGCTTTTGCAGAAAGTAGCCTCAGTATTTGATATTCATGCCACATTCCAGTTTCTCTTTCTACCCAAGATTTGTTCTTCAGAGTTTTTCTTTGACTTTGACTCAGTCTTAGCAAGATTATAGAGATGTGGGTTAAGATGCCCCCCTGGATCTGAAGATTTTCCATCTCTGGTATTGGTGAAGTAAGCACTCCCACAGAGTTGGTGAACAATTATGGGTCCTCTTAGACTCATGACTTCTCCTGGAAGGACTTCGTACAAATCCATCTTGTCTGCTTAATTGTGTTTGTTTCTGGATACACATTTGTTTCTGGATACTTGAATGCATGCATATTAGTTTATTTGATTAGTATAGGAACCCATTTCACATAGAATATGTGACTCTAGGTAGCATGTAATAAAACAGATAAAACTGACAAAATACTTAATATAAAAATACAGGTGAGCATATCATAAAATGACCACAAGAAAGCCAAGAGATGGGTTCTATCACACATCAAGGGCCCCAAGTCCAATCCAGAAACTGGTTAAGGCCACAAAAAATGCTAGCAAACGGATATCCTAATCACAGAAAGAATGATATTCCAAGGACATGGACACCATGACAGAAAAGGCTCTCCTTTTGGTTCCTGCCAACTGACTTTCATCAACTAACAACATCTGGGCAGTCCTATAAGTAACCAGTCCCAACCATGACTGGCCTTACAGGTAGTAACCAGCACCTTGAATTGCACACAGAAGCACACTGATAGCCACTGTAGCTTGCAATACTAAATAACCAATGCCATGCATTGCCTGCAACACCGCATGCTGCATCCACTGATGTTTCTGAAAGTTCTTCAAGGGCAGACCCATAAACATCATTTCAGTATCCAGCCTGGAAATCATGAGGGCTTGAATGATTGTTGCCTCAGACTATTCAGGAATTCACATAATTCAGAAATGAGTGCAAGTGATGCATAATCATGCAAAGGTCCTCCTAGTCATGTCTTCCACCTGCTCTCCAAGCAACAGACAAAAGTCCAGGAGGACATCCAGATTGTGCACTGGGTCTGTCTGTGATAGTGCTATCATACCCACATTCAAATATTAAAAGTCTATGGAATCAACAGGAAAAACATCCTAAAGTCACTCAATCTTGCTTGGACTGTGCTGAAATCTTAAAATGAAATCAAGGACATGATTATTTCTGTAAGACCTGAAATTAGGAATAGTTTTCTTTAGCTGTTTTTATAACCAGAACTTTTTCTTTTTAGTTCTATTTTATAACATCATGCCATCTTATTGGGAATATTTTTATTGGTGGTTCGTATCATTAGCTGTCCAGAATCAATTGACTTGGGCAACTTCTAAAAAGAAAGGAAGGAAAGAAGGAAGGAAGGAAGGAAGATCATAAGCTATATTGAATGCTATTCTTTGGCACAAACGCAAGGCATAATATTACGTTTATAAAATATTACCTTTCCCCACACAATATCACTGCTATTAGGCCACTTAATGAAAACATCATCCAGAAGTCCTCTTGTGAAAGCAGGATAATTAGTTTCATTTCCTGAGATGGCTGGATCCTGAAATGAAAACAGTATTCTCGTTAGATTTACATCTAAACTTATGAAGTCCAACATTATAGCACAGGCAATCCTATAATGAAAATATATCAGCTGCGAAGATGACAAATATAACTGCTCTTCCTTCCTTCCTTTCCTCCTTCCTTCCTTTTTTTCCTTTGAATTAGTGTTGATTCATATTGACTGCCTGGACAAGTTTCTGCAGTTTTCTTGGGAAGGTTTTTGAGAAGTGGTTTACCATTGTCTTCTTCCTATGTCTAAGAGACTGACCCAATGTCAGCCAGCTAGCTTTGTAACTAAGGCAGGATTAGAACTTATAATCACTCTCTTTCTAGGGTGATGTCTTAACCATCACACTGGAGTTCTAGACCTCTATGGTGAGATCAGTTAAATGGAAGGGATTATTTAAAGAGTTCCCTGACAATTTGCAAGTCAGTCTAATATAGAAAGGCAACATGCCTTTCTCATGGAAGAACTTCACATTGTCTAAAAGTGTTTACACTTTGGGGCTGTCAGAGCAAGCTCTAGAGACTTTCCTCACAACCTACTCTATAGTGAACAGCACAAGATAAGCTAGAAAGAGTAAATGGGACTTTGAAGCAAAGGAGAACAAAAAGACATAGGTGATGCTCTTTTTCTTAGAAGTGGCATTTCATTCAAATCTTAACTGAAGTAAAGATTAATTTTAAGAGATTTTATATCCTCACTATCATCATAGTGAAAACAGGAGGCAAGAAAAACCTCAGTACTTAGATATAGCATTCCAGCATCAATCCCAATCAAAAAATAACACAATTCAGATAAAGCAGCTCATAAAAGGAATGTATCTACTTGCACTTCTATCATACTCAGTTATAACTCACAAGAAAAATCATAGTAAAAAATATTGGAAGGAAAGTAAAGGAAGCCTATAGGATACCATATTAATGGCAGTCATATTCACAATCAAAATAGTAGGGAAAAACAGATTATTGATATGGTTGTCAGGAAACAGACATTATACAACTCATTCAACAATACCTGGAATGAAATCTGCTGGATGCTCAAACTGAATTAGAAGCATCCAAGAATCTGCTACAATGTCCTATCTGCTACAATGTCCTACTAGTCAATGATTACTTCAGCTTCAACCGCAACAATACAAGAACACACAACAGATACAAATTCAATGTTAACCGCTCCAAACTTGATTGCAGAAAGTACGACTTCAGCAACAGACTGGTCAATGCCTGGAATGCACTACCTGACTCTGTTGTTACATCCTCAAACCCCCACTCCTTTAACCTCAAACTATCCACTATTGACCTCATCCCATTCCTAAGTGCACCATTGTGCTTCCCGTCCCTGTCCTATTGTCCCGATTTATTTGTACCTATTTCCTGTATTCTTACTCGTGTTTATACTTATACCTATTATCTTGTAAGTGATTGACAAATAAAATAAAAATAAAATAATACACTAATAATATCTGTTGGATGAATGGGAGTAGACAAAAGACTCATTTGTTTTTAAAACAGGAGTGTACTTAGCATACTGACTTGCCAGTTGAAACTTTTCTGATCAGGAAGAACAACTAGAATGGAATATATAGAATCTAAATGTTACAAAACTGGGAAGGGGTTATGCCAAGGTTGAATACTGTTGCATTACTATAATGATAATTTTATATCAAAATTGCTGAAAGAAATATCCATAAGTGTAGAGAATCAGATAAATAACTTTAGGGGAAATAGTCAAGAATATATATATATACTGTATATAATCAAAGAAGGCTGAAATATTCCTTAAGACTCAGGAAACCCTAGGAAATGACTACTGTGCTCAGATATTTAAAAAAGCAAAGCAATCCATTAAGGGATACAGATTGTCATAACTGGGATGGTGAAGAAAAATGGATGGATGGATGGATGGATGGTTGGATGGATGGATGATTGAGTCTGTATTGTTATATTAACCAACTAGTCAGAACAATTAGTGATGATCACTTACCAAAATGATGACAAATCTCATTCCATCCTTTTTTATTCTGTTAATGAGAGCTGGAAGGTTTGTAAAATTGGGACTTAAAGTGAAATCCAATTGCCGTTCCATATAGTCAATATCGGCATATTGTACATCCTAAGGAAAACAAGTTAATTTTGTGAAGTGATGTGTATTTTTTTATAACAAGCACATTAAAATTATTCATTTTCAAATAAGTAAGTAAGTAAGTAAGTAAGTAAGTAAGTAAGTAAGTAACACATCAAGGAACAAAAGACTACTGTACCACTAACATTAGTCTTTTAGAACTTCTGTTAAACCCAATACATGTTTGTTTCTAGACTAGTAGTACTGATAAGAAATAGCTTTTTACAACTTTGTCAGATAGACAATTCATTTCTTTCTCTTTTAAAATGTCTTTTGAATTGCTGACTTTTTAAATATTTATCTAGAGCTTTTAGATGTTTTAGTAAGTCTAGAAAAGTTTTTGTTTCATGCTACCATAATTTAGCACAATGATAATGCATAGCTTCAAGTAATTGCATAACTCAAGTAATTTCATAACATTTTTTATTTTATTTTATTTTATAAAAAGCTGTGAAAAATGCTTATTTGTGAATAACTTACATATGAGATATTAGCTGCTTTCATGTTATCATACAATTCAGATATTTCTGCATCATTTTTGTATCCATATCGACACAACTGGAATCCCAAACCCCAATATGGAGGTAAAACTGGACGTCCAACAAGCTAATAAAAACAAACAAAAAGAAACAGGGATTATACAGTGATTGTTGTATTGGTTTAATATTATAATCATAGTTTAGGGTAGATTTTTTTTGTAATACAGGTTCTTACTGCGGTATATTCTTGAACGACTTGTTCTGGAGTTGGGCCCAAAACCATATAAAAGTCCAAAATTCCTCCAATGGTACGGTAGGTTAAAGCAGGAGTTGGCTGGAATTTTACCTCTGAAAATTCACAAAGGGGAAATAAAATATTGCATAGACCTGATAATACTGTTATATAAAACCAATCAATAAAAATAAAAATCACTTCTCTGTCATTTCATCTCTGAGTTGAGCCACCTGATGTACAATCTTCTCTCTTGAAATAGCAGGAAATGTGCTGCATCTTATCTGCTAATATTTCCCAGCAAGAAGAACCATGTAGCTGTATCAAATTATTTGCTTTGGATAAGCTATTTCACAAATAATAGTAATCTATTGTTTAACTTGGAATAATGTATGCTAAAACATTTGGGTTGACAGATTTATTTTTTTTAATATAGAAATGATAAGTGGTTTTAGGTTCTTTGTTTACAGATAAATAAATATTAAGCAAAAAAAGGATTTGATGTGTTCATATTGGCAATATGAACATTGCAGGGATTGGCAAAACTCATGTTGAGTCTCATCTGACCTATGAATTAATGTTCACTAATATGATATGCACTAGTTTAGAGTAGAATAGAACTGGAAGGGACCTTGGAGGTCTTCCAGTCTAGCCCCCTGCTCTGGCAGGAGACCCTATACCATTTCAGACAAGTGGCTGTCAAATCTCTTCTTTAAAAACTCCAGTGATGGTGCCCATGATTTCTGAAGGCAATTTATTTAGTTTGGAATAGACTCTACGAAATAAACAACAACTTACCCATTCCATTACTGTTCAACAATAGGACTCCATGAGCATTGCTATCGTCTTCCAAGCCCATATAAAAAGGTTGAACTCCATAAGTGTTAAATTTGTACTACAGGCATAAAGAGAAACAAATGTCATAACCAAATGCATTGTTTAGAATATACATTTTATTGCTAGCATGTGAATATTGACAGGATGCAATAAACTACATTCTCAATACAGCATACCTTTGTCTAGACTTAACTGAGTTAAGTATGCCTCTCTGAAATATTTTAGATTCCTTGGCTGTTTTTGATGCCATCACTACTAAAATCCTCCTGAAATGCCTTCCAACTGGGTATCTGGAACAACATTCTACCATGGTTCCACTCTTACTTTATAGAGTAATTCCAGGCATTGGTTTTGTGGGAAGAGTGGTTAACCCAATGAATAGTTTTAAGGATGTCTCATGGGTTAATCCTCTCCTATTACTTTTCAACATTTGCATAAAGACATGGAAGAGATCATTTCTTGGTTTAAAGTGATGTGTTCTCAGTATGCAAATGATACCGAAAATTACATAGCCCACCCAGTCTGGTTAAGTGTTTGGAAATAGTTAGGATTGGGATTGGATGGGACAGACATATGTTGATGTCTGAAGCATGAACCCAAGAAATTGCTATTTGGTTTTTGTGGTTTCTATTCACTAAAAAGGAAGCACTACCTGTGAGAAGTAGATTGATAACTGGGAAGTCATTCTGGACTCATAGTAATTGTTGGATGCGCTGGTAGAGATATGGCCAAGAAGCTTTTGTCTAGTTTCAGGTCTAGCTCTACCAGAAGTACAGAGATTTCACAAAATTACATCTTACCTCATTATTACTTGGCTAAATTGTTGCAAAGTCTTCTTCTGGCCTGCTTTTGAAGCCCACTTGACTGTTGTAATTGGTATGGAATATAGTGGCTTGCTTACTAATTACCAGTGTTGCTGATCACTATTACCCCAATGTTTAGGCCCTGTATTGCTAGTAGATTTTCAAGTTCATTCCAAGTTCTCCAACTTCAAATAATGGTTTGACCTATAAAGCCCTACTGTATTTACCTTGGCATTGATAGACATTCAGAACTTTTCACTTGATCCATACTACTATGTGTTGTAGGAAAAACGTTTGGTGTTTCCTAAAGTGAGGTGAACTGAAGCTAGGCTGTTGATTCTCTGCTGTGGTCTGGTAATGTTGGATAATCTCCTCTGGAACTGGACTTGCCTATTATGAACCATTTCTAAAAATTGATGAAGGTTGAACTTTTCCAGAGAGTTGTAGATTAATTATATGATGCTTTATATTGTTGTCATATAATGCTTTGTGCTTACTTTCTTACTTGATTTATTTTTTTTAAGATTGATTATAGTCTTAAGTAGTATAATTACAATGAATAAAACAATAAAAATTGTAACATGCAAATAGTTTCATTTCATTATTACTTACTAACATGTCCATTTTAATTTAATTTAATTGATTATTAATATTGACTACTGTAGACTTTTGATATGTCTTTTGTTATGTTTCTAACTGCCTAGAACCATTATGAAATACAGTGATGTACAAGAATTATAATAAATGTATACATTTCATTTTAAAAGAACTGTGAGGCATTAATTTAGCCTCTTTACTCAGTTAAAAGCTACAATAAATAAGTGAAGGTGAATTCTATCAAGAAAAAGAAACTCACCCCAGGAGGCTGATCCCTTGCAAACATTGGCCAGGTTTTCCAATTCATTTCATGCCGGAATTGTTTATGCTCTGTTTCTCCAAACCCATATACAAACTGTGAAGGTAGGCGAGTGGAAATCTGAATGAACATATCACTGAAGGTGAAGCCAGGTAACTGGGAATCCCAACTATAAAGAGAGGAAAAATCTTGCAGTCAGAACAATGATTAAATGTTAAACTATAATAAAACATCAAACAAGACTAAATTATATTAGTAACATATAAATAGTAATGCAATATGAAGATGTTGAGTTTTCAGTCATTTGCAGGATAAAGTAGAAAAAAATATACCAGCCATTAGCAAAAAAGAAAAAGAAAAGTGTGTGACTATACTAAAAAAATATTTTTCTATCTTGCAGTAAAATGTCATTGCTGTTGCAAAGAGACCAAATACTTGTTGACATTTTCTAATATCATCAAAACACAAAGTTCTTTCTTTGGGATATTAAAACAAAAAGAGTATTCAATACTATTTGATGCTGAGAAATGGGGAAAAAATCATTACAGCTCTTCCATTTTATATATTTTTGAACTGTTGACCTCACTTCTATACATCACTGATTCATCAGTGAATTTTAAAATTGCATAGCATTCAAACCTTGAAACAATTCTCTTTTAATTTCTGGATTTAGATAGCCCTCCTAGAGAACTGACATGTTCTTGAAAGGTTAATAGCAAGAGACTCAAAATGCAGAAATGAAAGAAGCCAGAATACTGATAGGTGTTGATTAAACCCGCTGGAGAGCTAGATGCAGAAATATTCCCAGTTTATAGAATGTAATGGCATCATCTCCTATACATCATCATAGAGATCAACAATGCTAAGCAGTTGCACTTGTATTTTAACATTTTGGAAAATCATACAGTTGGCCTTAGGCCATGTTTAAGTCCTGCTTAGTTCAAGAATTGAAAATAAATCAGCCCCAATGTAGCCTCCAATTGAACAGCTCCAGTGAAAGACAATCCACAATTCTCTGTGGAACTGATTTAACTGTAAAACTCTTCTGATTCTGGATAAGTTATTTTCTAACACACAATTGCAATCTGCTTTCCTGTAATCTAAATTAATTATTTTATTCTATTCTTTCTATAATTCTGATACATTGATTCTCTTTTATTTATTAGAATTGTCTGGAGAAGCCAATATTAGTTTTCTTAGCATTTTCATTTGCTTTGTAGCTCATTCTGACCTTTAGTCTTCCAAATACAGTACCCAGATATCTATATGGACTCTTCCTTTTTCTTTTTCTTTCATTTCCTTTATGTATTTTTAAAATTAGACTTCCACCAAGGATTTTTCTACGGTTCTACTTTTTTCCTCACTGAAGGTTAGCATCTATTTTCTTCCTATCTCAAGTGTCCTTTTCTATTAGCTTCTTCATTTTCCTATGGGTTCTAAAAAAAAGTGTATAAAGCACTGACAACGTTTTGCTGTTCTTGTGCTACTTTCTTGCTTATTTTTCCATGATGTTTAATCACAGCAGAAGAGAGGTACAAGAGGTGATAAACTTAGTTCATTACCCGATGAGCATAAAAGAAACTGCAATTACTTTGATTCACATATGTTTTCTGAAAAGTTTAAAGTAAAGCGAAATCTAGGGGATTTTAAGAATAGTATACTGATGTTTCAACAACATAGAAAAAAATTAGAAAATTTGGAAAAAAAATAATTGGAATTTTATTGGAATGAAATGAAATTCAATTTGTCTAGTTAAGAAGCTAGTCTTGTCCACCTATTAGTCAATCAGCCAAACAATTCATTAACCCAGAAATGATTTGATTTCCCATCAAGGTAATAGCAATGATGATTGACTAAAACTAAAATTTAGTTTTAGTTGGATTAAAACTAGTCCAACTAATTTAAGAAAAGTCCCCTGATACCATAGCACTGATAGCTAAATCAACCTTGTTAAATATGTGCAATTTTACATGTAGTCCATAGCACTTAATGCTATCGTCTATCCACAACATTCTTCACAACATGTTTTAATTCACCAATTAAATATTTCCTCTGTAATATCACATTTCTACTTACAGGACTGTTCCGGTGCTTTTGCGTCGAACTTGAATTCCAAATGGGTGATTCTGAATTGACACTTCATAGAGACGGTTTTCCAAAGTACTTATAGGTGTTTGGGGAAGATTCAGAGGCACTGGAACTTCAAATCTCTTTTTACTATAATCATAAATCTGAAAATAAAAGTCTTAGGTTTAAAACCTGGTCATAAAACATTTATTGGAGACCTGCATGTTCATTTTATAATATTCTCCCGTTTAATGATGATAAAAGTTTCTTAACACATCAAAAAGTTTTACTTATAATCTTCCAACAAAGAAAAGAGATTCTAATCAATATCAAGACAGGCGAGTGGGTTCCCTTAAGAAAATGTGGTCAATAAACTCCAGTTAAAAAAGTAAAGAATCGAGGATTAAAAGATTTATATTTGTATTTATTTTCAACTTCTCTTGAATTAGAGTCATAAAGCAACTGCAGTGTGATCAGAGTATGGTTATGCAAAGTGTATGTGTGTGTGTGTGGGGGGGGTGTATTTGGATAACCAAAAGAATATTATAAAGAAATTATATATAGCTGCACTGGAGAAATTGTATATCAATGCATTTCTGATGGAACAGAACTTGCAAAAAATGTCTATATTGGAAAATTCAAAAGAAAATGGATATTGATATTTCTTCACAGGTAAATAAAAATAAAATCACTACTGCAAAAATAGGCTGGAATGAACTGGTGCTGAAAAGTTAAATGATTAGATGAAGATTCTCATAAGAATTTAAAATGTATTTACCAAGATACAATATATCAATAGTTCTATTTTTCTATATTTTATGTTTCATATTTTGAAACCAGATAGTTTGGCAAAATTCTAAACAGATAGCAAGAATCAAACTCTTTATTAATAATGACAAAACCCTCAATTTGTTTCTAAAATAACCCACTATAACATTTTAGAAAGAGGTTTACCTTAAACTGAAGCATGTTATTATCATGATATTTTACTTCCAAACGAAGTTTGTCAATGAGGGGGATTTGCCGTCCTGAAACTCTAAGAAAGTCAATGTTTCTACCAAGATTGGCTGTTAAACCAGATGATGTATATTCAATTTGGTCAACCGTGTAACCATTGTCAGGAGGATAGTAGCAGTATGGAACGTCAGCAACAGGAGAAGGCTAGTTTATTAAAAATAAAAAGAATATATCAGTGAGTGAATAGAATTGGAAAGAGATTAAATCCATAATTTCTGAATTTATTAGAATCAATATTTACAACTAGTTTGCAAGACTTTTCCAAATCAGGTTTCACATAGCTAGTACTGAATGCCTTCATAAAATTGTATTAAAAAATTGGGGGGGGGGATTTGTTCCATATAACGAGACATACTGTTGTCTTACCCAGTTCCATCGTTATACATTCATTTATTTTATTTCCATGCTATTTTTCCTTATAAAGGATGTTAGATTGGCTTATTGCAGAAGAGAATAAAGGGGCATCATATTATAACAATGAATACCACAATATGAAATAAATTTTATTGAAAATATATAAGAATTAAAACAATAAAAATCATATATTTAATGTCCCAGACCATAAAGAAAAGCAAAACAAATAACAGCCTAGTCTGAACTTGAAATATGATTATAAATTCAAAGTCAACTGTAGCACTGTGAGCATTGAAATTGAATAGCTGGATAAAATTTTAGGCCACTGTTGAGATTTCCATCTTTAGAAGCATCCTTTGTCATTGGAATGGCAAAATTTCCATTGCATGAACTGAATCAAGAAGCATTAAATATCATAATTACTATGCGACATGAAATAACATTTGAGATTTCATTAGAATTATAGCTTAATGCTAAAAGGACCACCAAGTTTTGTTTGATCAGATTAAAAAGATTCAGTAGCTAGTATACAGCTGAAAGAATACTTATTGGAATTACTATGGGAAACAAACACAGCAAGATATTTAGAAAGAGTTGAATCCAATATAGTTATGGACTTTTAACATCTATTGATTCAACTAACTGAGAGTTAAGTGGGGATTTAAGTTGATTGGCATCTTTCTGCAGGAGGAAAGCCCTTTTTACGGCACCCAAAAGAATGCAAAATTATTTTACGCAATCTTTTTCTCTCTACAACTCAAAATATACTGCTTCTTATGAAAGAGCTTGAGACATGCAGGGAGTTTCATGAATAATAAACAAATATTGTCCTTTTCCATCCCTTTTTGTGGAATTAAAGAGAAATCTGCTGGGAAGGGATACTAGGTAGCTACATTTCTGTCTACTTAGTTCTGCAGGAATGCTCAGCTTTAGTTAGTCTGTACCTAAAATCAATAAAAATGCTTAGCTGTAGTAGTCATGATGCTAATGAATTGAATATCAATGATTTAATTTTCTTGTACATAGAAACATGAACATTTTGTCTCTTTCTGCCCATTTCAACTATTAAGAGGCTTGCAAGGATTTTAGGAAAACACATATTCATCCTATATGGACTGTTTTAGTTGACCTATAACACTTATAATGGGACTACAGAACTTAAGCAGTACAAATTTTGCTGTTGGTAATGATAGCCAAGGTGTTGAGGTAATTCCCCATTAGGAGAATGAGTGCACACAGGGAGACGTAGTGAGAGTGGTGAGGAATAACACACAACCAGCACACAGCACACTGAATAGTAAAATGTAGATTTTACTTCCAATAAACGGTTAAGTAAAGTCCAACAAGCAGTCCAAGTCATACACAGTTAAAGCAGTCAGTTTTCAGTCCAGGGATAATCCAAATAACAAAGTCCAGTATCATAAACAGTTCAGTAATCGGTCTCACATCAATCCAAGAAAAGCAACGATCAGCAACAGTCAATAGGGAAAAATGCAGGAACCAAAAACAGCGAACATCAGAACATCAACCAACTAGCAACTATCAACAACAGGACTAAACAACCAAGGTATCTGGCTCCATCTTATGGCCGTTTGAAGAACCACACCCAATTGTAATTTTAGCATTCCCTTAAAGAGACAGTATTAAATGTCTATCCTGGTTTATATATTTCCAACCCAACCGTTAGGTGACTATCAATTCCTAACACAAGGGAAGCAACATCATGTGATTAGATATAGAAACTTGAGTTGAATTGAAAAATAAAACATAGACCATTGCTGGAGAGAAAAATGGGAGGATTACAAGAGTTATAATCTATCCAGAAATAATTCTGTTTATAAAAGAGAATATTTGTAGCTCAGGGTTGACCTCTGGGGTCCTTGGAGGTTTTCTTACAGATGTTTCATTACCAAACTAATTAACAGCATTGGATGATGTTATCTAGTTTGGTAATGAAATGTCTGTAAAAATGTCCATCAAGCTCAGAGAGCACCCAGGACTCCACAATCCTGTTCACTTTACATTTTCTTAGATCATATGGAAATATCCCTAGATTTACTTCAAATTAATAAGAAACATACAAATATCTGCATTTTCCCCACATTATTTTCTATTTCTAGGTGGTGAGAAGGTACAATAATTCTACATTATAATGTGACTTTTACATTTTATTTTTACAATCAATTCTAATTAAGGTTATAGAACTGAATTACAGCATTTCAAAAATGCCTCCGTGTGAGTACACCTTCATTTAATCCAGTTATGCTGTTCAAAAGTAGGCAGTTAGGAAGCTTCACAGTCAACTGTGAACTCAATAAATGATACTCAGCAAAATTTAGAAAAGAATTGATTGGAGAGCTGCTCAGTGATAAGCTATTTTGATTCCAATTTGTGGCTATAGATAAAAAGGAAAAAAAATGCAAATACTCTACAAACAGAACTTTAAAGAGCAAAAACACACAAGAAGGACAAAATGAGTTTTTTTCCTTACTTCCCATATGCAGCGAAGAGCTTCACATTTTTCTTTTGATGCATGTTCTTCAGGATGACAATCAAATTTGTCAATATCTCTTAAAGTCTGGTTCCAGGATATTGTATGTTCTTCCCCCAATTTAAGATAAAGACCAGTTATGTAAGCAACCTATGAAATTCACAATAAAAACCAAAATACAGATCACATAAATATCCCATGTAAATCACATGTGCAAAATGGATTTCACCACTTTAATAAATAACACTTAATGTCTTTTTATTGATTGCACAAAAGCCATAAGGAAATATGAACAAAAGCATATTCTAGAAGCAGCAGATTAAATAGAAACAGTATTCTAATCTACTATGACTGTCAGGGAAACCATTACTTTTTTATTTGTTAAATAATGTACAACTGGCAATATTAATCAGCTGGAGAAATGACTAAATGTTGAAGAAACAGATTGCAATTCAAAGGGATTTGCAAGAAAAAAGGTGATACATGTATATTCTGGGGGTCTTTTCAAGGTCTGTGGGACAAGTGAGAACCAGAATTATTTTAGGAAAATGCTGAGATCAGCAGTACTGGGAAAATATTAACTTATGCCGCATAATCAAATTAGAAGTAGCTGTATGAATATTGATTTCAAATCCCTACTAGCCACCTGGTTATGAATATTAAAGCTGACTATTTCAGTCTCAAAATTTTCTTCTTCGTTCAATATGGAAAGTAAAGAGAAATACTGAATACATATTGAACTCCATGTCTCTTTTTGGGTCATTCTTTAAAGGATATATGTTCAAAGTAACAACTAAAACAACAATAGGGTTACAAATATTATTGAGAATCAAATTCTTAAAATAAGGTGTCTTTTTTTGTGTGTGTGTCAGTCAAATCTGACCTATATGGTTTGGCTCATGGCCTAGAAGTTAAGATTGTTAACCAGGATTTCTAGATCCAAGCACTGCATGATGGAGTGGGCCCCCGTTCTTGCCTAAACTCCTGCCTACCTAGCAGTTTGAAAGCATACAAATTAAAGTAGATAAATAGGTATCACTTCAGTGGGAATAGCGTTTCATGTGCCTGAGCATATAATTATGCTGGCCACATAGAAGAATCTTCGGACAATACTGGTTCCCTCTGCTAGGAAATGAAGATGAGCAGTGCCCCCTAAGGTCAGACAAGATTGGACATGAGAAACCTTGTACATTTTTTAAAACTCTTAGGACCACCTTTTTTCAAGTATAATTAACCCATCTGATATTCTTCTTGAGTGAAAATCTAGTTTTGGTCCCTTGTTTTGAGATGAGGAAAGCAGAAACCTGAAAACATTGTTCTTTGGTGATTAACCCACCTCCCAAGACAAGCAAGCATACATTCTAATATTCTTCTGGAAGCAACTGAAACTAGTTCTGTTTTAGAAAGCTTTCAGGGAATAGAAGGTGGATTTTCTTAGCTCAGTAAGACAGATTGTTATTCTTTGGTGAGCTTTTATGCAATGTTACTGTTTTGTTTTGACCTCTTTTTTATGTTTACATTGTTAACTGCTAGGAGCCTGTGATTCTTTTAGGATCATAAACCTAGCAATGTTCCCAGGCCATGAATTATTCTTCATTATACTTAATACCCAATTTGAATATTCAGATATTCTGACAATTGCATGTCTTAGACTCAGTGCTGAAGAAGGGCAAAATTAACTATGCGAAGTTTTATTTTGCCATGCCTTGAAAACAGGCATAGTTGATAAGATTTGATTTCATTAATGGTTTGATACATTACTTTGTAGCTTATTTAGTCTCTGCTCCTCTAAACGAGTATCTTCTTAACAAAGATATTTGTCAGACATACTACTCTTATGACCTGGTAGAAGATATTTCTGACTTCAGAGTTTTAATTATTTAAAAATTGACACCTTCAGTTTGACTATGACATTTATCAAGGCTTGAAAGGATCTTGCTTGAAAATTGGAAAATAAAACATTAATAAAAGACATACTTCTTTTTAAAGCATTATAGCATCTAGCAAAGTTAATCTAGCACAGGGATATAAAACTCAATTTCATTGAGGGCCGCATCTGGGTTATGTTTGACCTCTGGGGTGGTTGGGGTGTGGCCAGGGGCCATGGCCAGCTCGACATCACTCATGTTGAGAGCACCTATGGTGGCCAAGTACTAAGGCAGGACATCCCTCAGACCCTCCCTCACTCTCATTATAATCTCCTTCTTTCTTTCCTTCTTTCCTTTCTTCTCTTCTTTTTGCTTCACCATTCCTTCTCCTTTCTTCTTCCTTCCCACTTTCCTTATTTTTCCTTCCTTGCTCTCTTCCCACCTTTCCTTCTTTTTCTTTTTCTTTCCTCTTTCCCCTTCTCCTTTCATGTCCCTTCTTGCATGCTGAAATGCAAAAGAGGAAACATTTCCCCCTTTGTTTTGTTTTTAGCTTGTTTTGTTAGCCCTCTGCCAGCAAAAACGAAGCTTGGGATCTCTGTCCCCGGGCTTTTGACATCCCTGATTTAGCACCTTCAGTACTTGCTATGTTAGCATACATGGACACAATTAATACTAGGACTGCCATTGGATATTATCTGATGTGCATGCATGTGTGGGTAGCTTTCAAAGAAAAGACACTAACCTAAGTGTCTCTCACTTAAATATCTAAACGAATATGTTCCTGAAACCTTGTTGTTGACTACATTATAAATATAGTAAATATAACCTTAACACTTATTTTTGAGTAGCAAATGATATTATCTGTGGGGGTGGGGAATTCATTAAAATTTATGAAAACACTCAGCAATGCATACCTTGTTTGCAGCATTGTACTTGACAGTCAAATTATATGACTGAGCCACATTATTTGAGGTTACTTTCACATCTGAAGGCTCAAGGGGTAGCCCAAGAATCTTGATGTTCTCAAAGATCAAATTATTTGGATCTTTGTAGCCTTTACGTGTAACTGCCATAGTTAAGATTTTCTGGAAGACAGCAAAATCATTACACAACACTTTTGTTCACTGATCTTAGTTATAATTTTCTATGATTTTGTATGATTTACTTTAAAGCTAAAATCATGTAATTAAGATATAAATGATAGCTTGTTGTAAGTACAGTACAATAAACATCTTTTTGAAAAGCAAATGTGTTAATATCATGCAATCCGATTGTTATAATGAAATGAGTTTTCTCTAGCATTCAGTAAGTTTCCTCAATACTAAACCTGTGATCATATTTATTACATGTAAGGGAACTATTTAAATTAGATTCACAGATGCAGAAAAACAGTAAGGATTTATGAGGAAAATAAATTATAGCTGGAGATAAAATAAAATAATATAAAATAATTATATTATAATATAATATAAAATCGAATATTAGTTTATCCAACACTATTCACTAGTCTATAACTTTTCATTCTTGCAAACTATTTCTGTACACCAAAAATGCACTCACTGTTCCACATATTGTATTAATTAACCCATTTATTCTTTATGCTTGTTCCTCTGACTCACACATGTCTTAAATATCCTTTATTCTGCTGTTCCATGTAAATCATAGGCAGGAATATACATATATCAAAAAATGTACTTCTTTAAACAGATATTCATTCTTCATAACGGGTCACATACTATCCATTACTTTTCTTTAAGAATTTGTATATTTTAAACATATTTATCCAGTTAAAAACTGAATGAAATTTCTGGGAATCTCCCTCATTAATGAAAATATACTTACATTTGAGACAGTAAAGTTATATAAGAGATACTTTTCATTTCTGACTGTATCTAAAACATAAGGAGAAATGTACTTTTAAATAGCAAAGAAAATTATTCAAGCAAATTAATCAAATAAAATAGTTTAAAGAGTTAGGTAATATGCATGTAATAAATATATATTATTAACATTCTGAACAATATTTGGCAGATCTGCTCATAACTGGTCTTGATGTCCATCTAAACATCTACCTATAAATAATCAAACAGATGGAACAATATGACATAATATCAATAGAACAATTGAAACAACAGTAGAAAAAATAAAATATACCCCAAGCTACAGTACAATCTAAGGTAAAGTGATATAAAATGTTCTATAGATGGTATAGAACTATCAGCAATGGACAAATCATACAGCAATCAATGTTAGAAATGCCATAACAAAGAAAAAAATTATATCCCACCAATTTAGATGAAATGTTGTTGAAATTCACTGGTATGATTTTAAGTGCAGGGGTGTCAAACTAGATGCATCACGTGCAGGCCATGCCCACCCCAGCTCCGCAAATGGGAAAAACATTGTGAAATGTCATGTGACAGCAATGTGATGCCGTGAGTTTGATACCCATGTTCTGGGCAGTGATGGCTAACCTTTTCATTATCACGTGCCGAAAGTGAGCATGTAGACACGCATGCATGCCTCCACCCATTCCCCCTGACCCCTGCACATATGTGTGCCTCTCCCAAATGCACCCTCCCCCTGTGCATGCATGGCAGATATGCAGTGGGAGGCGTGCACGCATGCACAGTGGAATTGCTCTCGGGCAACGGCTCACATGCCGGCAGAAATGGCTCTGCGTGCCGCTTCCGTTATGTGTGCCATAGGTTCGCCATCATGGTTCTAGGATGTCCAAAAAGGGCCAGAGGCTACAAAAGATCAGCTGTCATAATACACACCATTTATGCTTTACCTAGCATAGTTCCTAATTGAAGTATTTGGGAAAATGTGAGCTTCAATCTATCTAAACTATAAATCCTGATGTCACCAAACTGAATTAGCTGAATGCCTCCACTCCAAAAAGAATTGCTATTATGGACATCTTATCACATTCAGGGTAATTTAATTTAATTAAAATAAACCACAGAAAATTGTCCTCTTCGCCCAAATGATATAAATAACAATAAAGTCTGTTCATGGTGAAAGAAGATATTTTAAAAATTATTAACCAGTAAGAAATGACATGCCTGGGTCAGTATTTGTCAAATAAATGACTGAAAAAATAAACTACTGAAGTGTCTTTTTTTCTATTCTGTTATCTGTTGAATTTTTTTGAAATGGAAGACATTTTTTTCCATAATAACCTTTTATAAAACTATGTGATCCAAACTGCTTTATTATACAGAGTAGACAATATTTGCCTATAAAAATTCTAGAAAATAACATAATTGCTAAATATTATCTTCTCTTAACAACAACAAAAGTAGGAAGTTTGCTAGCAAATTCTAAAGGGCAGGTACTTTTGATTGTAAAATCATTGCACCTACATTTTATTTATTTAATAAAAAGATAACATTTTGTATTACTTTATTTTAAATTAATGCAATGAACATTTGCTTATTTTAGATCTTTAAAAAAGAGTCCAATATCTTTGGGATTCAATATCATCAGTCTACCTTAAAGCCATTCAGTATTCATTGCAGTAATTGTCACCTAAATTGTTCTTTCTCTCTCTCCTTTTTTAAAACCATCTCAATATTTTGCTTGCTTTTTTAAATAACCACTGGTGACCAATAATTATATATGGTGCAACACAGAAGTTTTTTAAATCAGGGAGAAAGGTAATTTAAGAAACACAAAGATAACTGATATTTTGCAGCACTTTAGAAAACATTGCTAGCAAGCAAATAAATGGCTGAATTGCCACTAAGCATTAATACATCTGAGAATCTCCTAAGAATTGATATCCTTTCCATATTTCCATAAATGCCACTGCTACAAATCAGGAGTTTTAAATACCAATAAATGAAAGTATTTGTAGCTCAGTGTTGAAATGAGAAGTCCTTGGTGCTCTCTGAGCTTGTTTGTTTTCTTGCAGACATTTCTTTACACAAACTAGGTAACCTCTTGGAGATGTTGGATACGAGATGGGCAGCAAATGAATTTTACAAATAAATAAATAAACATCATAAGTGCTAGCAAGGAATGAACTTTTCTCTCAGTTTATATTCTACTGGCTTGCCCTGTCAGCACTGATGATGCTACTTACTTTAGGTAATGAAATGTCTGCAAGAAAACAAACAAGCTCAGAGAGCACAAAGGACCCCTTGCTCTCAAGTAGTTTTGATAAGTTCAGATCATTGCTGAAATATGTGAATATGCCCATAATGTTAATTTTGAATTTAACATACTGAAGATGTATCTCCATAATTATTTGCATACTTTGTTTTGAATTAGAATAAATGTGTTTGCTTGCCTGCCTCTATTATCTATTTTCCTGTCTTTCTGTCTATCATCTACCATGTTTCCCTGAAAATAAGACCGGGTCTTATTTTCTTTTGGACCCCAAAATAAGCACTAGGGCTTACTTTCAGGGGATGTCTTATTTTTAAAAAAATCTATTATGGTATCTATTATGAGCCACAGTGGCGCAGTGGTTAGAGTTCAGTACTGCAGGCTACTTCTGCTGACTGCCATCTCACCAGGCTCAAGGTTGACTCAGCCTTCCACCCTTCCAAGATGGGTAAAATGAGGAGCCAAATAGTTGAGGGCAATATGCTGATTCTATAAAACCACTTAGAGAGCGCTATAAAGCACAATAAAGTGGTATATGTCTAAGTGTTATTACTATTGGTATTGCTATCCAGTGATGTGTTTCAAAAAAGTTTACCACCATTCGGTGGGCATGGCTTGATGGGTATGCTTTGCATGCATGCCCACACTTTGCATGCGTGCACGCCAACATGCACTTTGCACAGGCACAGAGGCTTTCTGACTCCCCTCCTACAATCCTGTCTCTCCCTGTCGCAAAGCAGCTGCACTTAAAAAGCAGGGAATAAAGGTCAGTATGGGAGCCTAGGTAGGCCCAACAGCAGAGCATGAGAGAGAACTGGTTCGGTCTCCACTGCTCTTTGGCACTACCAGTATGCCAGAACCGAACTGAACCGAACTGGTAGAATACCACCATTGTTGCTATCTCTCTATCTCTCTATCATTCTATTGTTCTATTGTTCTAACATTCTATCTATCACATATCTATTTCTGTTAGTAAGTTTACCTCTTGTTATTCCATCGTCCCAGAATAAGTCTCCAGTTGCTTCTTCATTCTCATCTAAAGCAATTATAAGTCCCATAGGCTTTGTACGGCTGTTAAAAAACATATTGTCTTTATTGGACCAGATATTGAGAGTTTCTATAATAAGACTACATTTTCATCCATTCTATTCTTCTAATGATATCATGAAATAATTGAGCATATAGGGATTTGTGATGGGTAAGGAGAATAATAATGGGGTGAAAGACTAATGTTTATTTGGAAATAAGTATCATTGTGTTAAATTAAGCTTTCTCACAGAAAATAAGCTAAATTGTTTCAATTGAGATCTATTTACTATGAACCAAGGGGGACATCCCATCATAATCACAAACCAATTATAGGTGTATGTTATTGTAATTTCCAATTATATCCCATTTTATTGCCCATACAGTAGTCAATGTGATTAGAGCAATCAATTATAGCACATGCTTTTGAAATTTCACAATCTGTGCACGCATTTTGGTAGACAAATGCAAAGTCAGTCAATCCCTTTTCAATCAATGACTAGCATAGAGATGCAAATAAATGCATTTCAATGATTCTGGAGAAAAATATAGTGGCAAAAAGGCCCTACTACACTTCATCTTCATTCTTATTGGTCAGAGATCCCTGGATATGATATATACAAAACTTCTAGAACTAATTCTAACTGTAGTATCATTCCTATCAATGGCACTTGCAGAAATGTATCTCTAATCAGCTTCTGGAGACCGCATAGGCTGCAAAATGGGATGAAGTATTTCTACATTTTTCCCCAAAGGGGAAAAAAATCTTCAATAGTTTCTTAAGGGTCAGGCCTCTGAATAATAGGACAGTAATAATAACAGGTGGGGAAGAGAAAAAAATATGGCAGAAATTACCTTGTGTTTTGTGATATTATTCCTTAGGAAGTAATTGAAGTGTGAAAAATAATGTAGCCACAAAGCTACCAGAGGAAATTGTATAATACAAGAAAAGATATTCACATATCCTCTTCGACTCCCTTTTCACAAATAAATGCAAGAACACTACTCTCCCAAGTTCTTATCTTCATGGAATGAGATTTCAAAGGAACAAATTCTCTTTTCATCAGCTTGAAATGAGAACTAATAAAAAAAACATGCAGAGAATTTCTCTCCATACCAATAGTTGCATTTCCTCTAGACAAAACTTTAAATGTTCTAGACTTGGAAAATAAATGTTCAATCCATCTATAGCATTGGTTTGTGCATTGTGGATATTTTGTCTTCCTCCAAACAACACTAATTGCTTTTATATATTTGGAAACATTAAGCTGAATCTATGCCAGAAAAGGGAGATTTCCATATTGTATTGGAATTGTGTTTTGGGTAATATTTTACCCATCAACTGGAAAGACTGCCAAAATTCCTAGATAGAAGAAACCTTTCAACCCTCAAGAATAGAGGGCTGAAAAAAATCCTGATCTTCCTACCATATATTTTGGATCATCAGACTGCCTTTCAGGTCCTTCGCAATATCAAGCTATATTTTCTCTTGCTATCTGATATCTTTTATGTTATTGTGACTAATATCCAAAAGAAGGACAATGGCTAAATTGTGCTGTATTGCATTTGTTTATGGTGAGCTTAAAAATCAACTTTATTTTCCTTCTTATGTAGTCTATTCATCCACTATCCACCATCAGTGTTTTAAATAAATTAAATAGATGTGACAGCTGTATCTTAAGAATACCCCAGTATCAGAAAATACCTGTAAACAGTTGTGTTGGCTGGTTCTTGAATAGGTAAGATGTATCCTCCTCTAAGATGAAGACCAAGTTTGTTTTCTGGAAGGAACATTTGACACTTTTGTTTTCTGCATGGTGTTTTTATACCCTATTTTTTATAAGGAAATTAGAATAAAGGTTTACTATATTCATAATTGTTAGTATCCTACAAACAAAGAAGAATGCATATATTCCTTTTATAACGGGAATTGGCAGAGGAATAATATCATGACTCTATAGATGTATTTTGTATTATATGAAATAAAAAAATGGTTAAGGGTCAAGTCAATTAAAAAAACCAACCTAGTATACAGTAAATCAACTCTTCCCTTCATATTGAGTAAATCCAATTGTCACATTTATGGGGGGAAGGGAAACTGGAGGCATTCACCTTGATTCAATTTGGAAGTTGAAATTTATCTATGAATTTTAGCTTCATATAGTCTTCATGTGCTTCTTAAAAAATATTGTATTGCAACTTGTCTTTTGCTTTTTTTTTTTTTTGCAGGATAGTATTAAAATATAAAATTCTCAATGACCCACTCACACCCTACACGACTTTCTTAGAAAGGCTAGACAATTTGTTTGATGTACTACTACTTTTTTAATCATCAAAAGTAACCTGATTAAAGCAATGCTTCGGTGAAAGTGAAATATTCTCTTTGATCCAAAGAATCTAAGCACTTTGATTTGACCTTTTGTGTCTGAGTACCCCTACAAAATTCTATGCCACATATGCATTTTAAAGGGTATAACTAAATGATGTACAGATTGCTACACAGCAGAGTTAATTTGAAAAGTTAATAGTAGACTTTTAGGGGAGACATTTTATAATAAACATGCACTTACTGTCTCATATTCATACCATACAGCATCAGGGATGTATGCTGTTACCTTATCAACACCCTGAAATATTAAAAAGAAAATATTTCATTTATTACCAACATAAAGGGAAAATGCCTTGATATTATTAGATTTTTTTTCCTAGGCTGGAGGTAGGTGAGGGTGAAAGTCTTTCTCTTTTATTCTTTCCTGACTTTTCTACTGGAAAAATTATTTGTCAAGCATTTTTTCATATTATAATGTCAATTGCTATTTCCACCACAAAATGCTCTAAAATGACTGTAGACGTGGAAGGTTTGGAGAATGGAAAGTGATTATCAAGCTATCAATAATATATGCTGGTGGATTTTCATTTGTGGCAGAAATAGGTGTAGTTTTTGAAGCAACACTGAAACAAGAAAGAAAGAAAGAAAGAAAGAAAGAAAGAAAGAAAGAAAGAAAG